CAAAAATGTTGGGATCAGAAGCTCTCAGGAGCCTAGCCCTGTATTTCTTCTAGGAGCGATGGCTCAGTATTCTCTAATTCAGTGTTTGTGGTGACCTTACTGGACAGAAAACTACCGCAAATCATGAGAATCACTGCACATCTTTTGAAAAAGTGACCTGTCCATTGTCAGTGATCAGCAGTGAAAGTATCACAATCACAGAAGCGTCTATAAAGATACACACTCTCTCGCCGTGAGATACGGCAAGCAAGGAAATTTGAACCAGGTTGTGCAAAGGTGAAGCTGGAGTCTCTGGAAGAAAACAACGTGCTTCCCAAATGACCTGCCTCTGGCTTGGTTGGTCGTGGTGCGGCCTCTAATAAGATTACCCCAAGGAGGGATCCTGAGAAGCCCTGGCACTAGACATGTGTCACTACTGGTGTCCCACCTATGCCCTAAAAGCCACTACTCTCCTCTCCATGGCGGGTTCCCCTCCCCCTGCATCCCTGGGGCCTCTTACCTCAGAGACTGCGACTGCCCCCTCCTCCCCTGCATCTCAGGGGTGGCTGGGGCACTGGTGCGGCCCTGCCACTGGCCAGGAACACCGCGGATGGGAACCACGTGGTAGGAGGCAGGCTCCAGCAGCCACAGGCTGGAGGCACTGGGCCCCTCCTGTGGTGTGGTGGCCGGGCTGCTGCAGAAGGATCAGAGACTAGTGAGTGGCAGGAATGCCTCCATTCAGGGGCTCAGGTGGGGCAGAGGAGGGGGGCGCAGCGGAAAGGGGCCCCCACCTCCCACCATCACAGAGCTCAGGAGAGGGGCAGTCTTCCAGGCCTTGCCATGCCCATGCCCATGCCCCCCACCCCCAGCGCAGCTCCCACCTGCTCCCGGCCCTCCTCCTCCCCACCCTGACCTGGACTCGCTATTGGGTTCAGAAGACTTCCTGGGCTTCTCGTAGGGCTGGTCCAGGCTGGTCTCCTTCCAGGGGCTGTTCTGGATGGGGGCCCGCTCCAGGCCCCCCGCCTCAGGTCCTGCTGGCTGCAGCCCCTCAAGGCTCTGGGGCGGGAGAGGCCGAGGAGGCGGAGCTGGGCCCTCTGGGGGAGGCTTTGCTGCCTGGGACTCCTCTGCAGGGGTAAAGAAACCCGGCTGAGGGCGGCGGCCAGGGAGCGGGTCCCACAGAAACCCATGGCCTATGCCTGCCTGTGGCTGCTGGTCCGGCTACTCCAGACCGTGGCTCCAGTCCCAGATGCTCAAAAATATTTTCTTTTCCTTTGGGACTTAGGTCTTCCCTCACAGCTCTATATTTTATACCTGTCTCCTTCAAGGACCCTCCCCCACCGCCACCCACCAGACTGACTCCCCTTGGTTCTCATTAATCCACCTTCTAACCAACCTTTGCTCCAGGCGCCATGTCTGCAGCTGACCTGTTTGCCTTCTGTTCTTCATGTGGTGCCCATGTGCACTGTGTCTACTGGCCTGGGGGCTCCCTGGGTGGGACTGTGCCGCCCTCCTGGTCCGCTTGACCCTTACAACCCTTAGTGTTTGAAAACTGGGTTCTCAACCTATGGCTTATCTATGGCCAATCTATGAACCTCCCCCAGTCTGCCGTCTTGTCAAAGGGGAATGACTGTGGCCAGAGGGCTCTTAGGCTCTGACAGGTGCATCCTGGAATCAAGCCCAGGGCTAAGGCAGGGATGCCTGGGGCCCATGCTTTCTGCTGGAATTCACTTTTCCCTTTTCTGTAAAACGAGGGAGCTTCCAGAATGGGAAAGGGTCAGTGTTTCTCCACCGTCAGCTGAGAAGTGCAGGAGGCACGTAGATATCAGAATCAGGTAGGAGTGGAGACTCCGCCAGCCTGGCACGCCCGCCTTCACTAGCTCACTGAAGGCCCGCTCCCATTTGAACCATCGGTAACCTCCGCCAGAGCCCCAGAGTCTTGCTGTGGGAGCCCAGCCCTGACAACCGTCCCCAAGCCACCCTCTCACCTTCCTCCAGGAGCAGGCCATCCGACAGGGAGCTGTCATCCGAGGCACTGAGCTCTGGGAAGGCCAAAGGGGACAGCAGGAGAGGATGTCACCCTCAGAGCCGGAAGCCAGCAGTGCCAGCAGCCCAGGCCTGCCCCGCCCCTTACTGATGGCATCCCTTATCAGGAAATGCCAACTGCATGCTAAGTACTATCCTGGCTGTGAATTTACTACCTCCAAGTAGAAAAAAATTCATTAAGTTAAGAGTAAGGAGACAGGAGACCTGATGTTAGGAATGACAGTTTGAATAGTCTGTTCCAATGCTGGGGGCCTCAGTTTCCCCATCTGTCAAAAAAAGCCAGGGCTTCCTCTGGCAGGGTTTCCTGGCAGTGGAAGGACGGGCAAAGAGTCATGGTGGAAAGGCCTTGGGAGGAAAAGAACTCTGATAATTTCTATAGTCTTCTGATACCCCAAGTGCAGCTGCACCCAAAGGATTCCAAATCGGGTTAGTCCGACATTACGTTACCAGCACCAAGAGCAGTGCTGTACAGGGCACTGAGCTGCGGGGTCGTGGGGCCAAAGCAACTGAGGGTCTGGCCGGCTGGATAAGGAAGGTTCCTCAGTGGGTGATACGGGAAGCCACCCACAGGAAGGGGTGTGGCGTTGCTGCCTGGGACAGCACTTTCTCTCACCCAGGAAGCCAGAGGAACTTCTATTCGCATCGTCCTCGGACAAACCGAGACCTTCCGATTTTGAGGATATGCCTAAGTGACCAGGATGGAACTCACAAAGCATTTTCAACTGTCAAAGATGAGGGAAAATTAATATTAGCTGATATTTCTATTGTGCCAGCGCTTTTCTAAGCACTTAACATATGCTAATTCATGTGCTCCTCAGAACAACCCTGTAAGGTGAATACTGTTACCACGTCCATGGACCAGCTGAGGAAACTAAGGCTTCGGGGAGCTGACAACATGGCTTAGGTAGATCTTCTGAGAGGCGGCTGGGTCAGAGTTCACCCCCAGACAGGCTGACCAGAGTCTGGCCTTTCACTACCACCATTTATCAGCTCTCCTATTAGCTGGCATCTAATGCACAGGGCAGGACCCAGAAGCTTCTAAGTAAACAATTCTAGCCATTTTAAAATCCTTTATAACAGGGATTGGCAAACTACAGTCCTGTGGGCCAAATCCGGTTAAGTGTTTTTATAAATAAAGTTTTATTTAAAGTACAGATTTGTTTACATAATGTCTGGCTGCTCTTGTGCTAAAACGGTAGAGTTGGGTCACTGTGACAGAGGCCATATGGCCCACAAAGCCTAAAATATTCACTATCTGAGCCTTTATAAAAGCTTGTCAGCCTTTGCTCTGCAACTTAAATGAAATAAAATTTTACCCAAAGCAGTTCTTAAACCTTGAGAGCTTAAATACTGCGCAAGGGGCTGGACCACCTCCCCAGGAGCCGGCCGGCCCGTGTTCGGCTTGGCGCTCTCTAACCTTTACTCTGGGGTTCAATTGAGGAGACACCCTCTCATTCAGTTCTGGCTTCCTGCCTCTGATATTTTACAAAAACCTGGAGAATAAAGTGTTTTCTTTTTCACAAAGGTCAAGTTGAAGCAGCTGCAGGGCTGTTACTCTCATGACCCAATGATGAACTGGAGTTAGTTTATGTTTTGGCTTGAATATATGGCCTGGGAAGAAAACCATCATTCCCCACCTTTCCTAATCTCCATGAAAACAAGCAGATCAGAGTTTAGAGGGCCAAGAAAGTACAACCCAAGGAGGGGCATCTGGAGACCCCCTGCCCTGGCACAGGTAGGGTGTGCACTGGGCACATTAGCCAAATGCAAGCAGATCCTGGGGGCTGCTCACTGCCTCGGCCACAGGGCCCCTGCCAAGCCCCGGCTCCACCTCACCGGGGCCCGGGACACCCCAGATGGAGGGGCAACAACTGGGATCATAGGCACTCTGAGCACCCATCATGGCAGCCACTAGCTGCATGGGGCTATATTAACTAAAATGAAGCAGAACTGAACATTCAGTCCCTTGGTCACACCAGGTACATCTCAAGTGCTCAGCAGCCCCACCTGGCTAGTGGTCACCATACTGGACAGCGCAGATATAGGACATCCCCATCACTGCGGAAATTCTACCAGACAGCATTACTAAAGGCAGGCATTGTCAGTCAACAAACGTGTTCTGAGCACCTGTTGCATTAGAGGTGTGTGATGTGGGTATTTCTCATCAGGTTCACTGTTGTAAATTAGTTCAACACCTGACTGCTCCCTGCTACCTGCAGAGTACTAATTACTCTCCCCTGGCATAATTACTTTCCCAAACTGAATAAGCCTCATGTGGAGGCCAAGGGGACAGGGTGGTCCCCACACAAGGCTTATTCAACTTGGGAAAGTAATTTCTTGTTTTATTTTTGGTTCACTTGTTTGCTTTATTTCCCCCTTTTTATTTCAACACACTTTGGCTACTAATTATTAATTCCTCTCCACTTCCTCCCAGGGAGAGCAGCGCTGGGCAGAGGAGTCAGAGAACAGGCATTACCTGCCTAGAACTGCCCCCTCCTGTGCTCCTGGGAGGAACATTAGAACCCAGGACCCCAGGACCCCAGCAGTCAGGGTCTGAAGGTGGAGAGAGCAGGGTCTTTCTGATTTGGAGAGTGAAAAGCCCCAGCTCTCCCTTCCCCTGGGCTGAGTGCCCTGAGGTTTCAGAAGCTTGCTCAGCCTCCTGCCTGGCCCAAAGGGCTACCCAAAGCCCCAGGCATGTCCTGGCCTGCTGCTCCCCACCCCCAACACGAAGCGTCATCGGTTGCAATGGCAGCAGCAGAGTGACACCCCCGCACCACCCCCGCACGAGCAGACCTGTGGGCAGACGAGGCTGCAGGGCACACAGGGGTGCTGAGCCTGCTTGGACAGGGGCCCAGAGGGAGTGAGCCCTTGGGGACCTTCATGCCCCAGGCGGCAGCTGCCTTTCGCGGGGAGGACAAGTCCGGGGGGCCTTGTCTGAAGTAAAGGAAGGATGGGGAGTTTCCTTTCCAGCAGAGCCCTGGAGACCAGGGTGCTGCCCTGCGGCCAGGCCAGACAGAGCCAGCTGAACGGAGAAGCCCGGCCGTCTGACCCTGGGTCGGGCCCACCATCTCCTGTGTTCACCGGGTCGGCTGTCACATGGAGCCACCTCCCCTCTCCCCCTCTACTCCTGGCTACTGGAGGTGACCGGGAGGTCTCTGGTCATACCCTTTCCGCCCTAAATTAGAGGGGATATGTGAGCATGGGACCCGTGCTGCCATGACTGCCCACCCAAGGGTGGGCCACAGCCACGGGGTTCTATACAGATGTTCAAACAGCCAAGCCAAGGGACAGGGGCAGGGGTCTCCACACCCCGCCCCTAGGCCTTGGAGTCCAGTCCTGCCCCAGGGCCCCGCCCCAGTCCCCACTCCGGCTCTGACAGCCGTGGCCCCGGGGAGCTGGGACCCACGGAAGGCCTGGAGCCGAGTGAGCCAGGGCCGAGGCGCCCTGGGGGCCGGGAGGGAGGACTCAAGCCTGACCTGAAACGCTGGGCTTGGGTCAGGGGAAATAAGAGCGGCCACACCGACGGACTCAGAAGCCCTTGTTGGGAAGTAACCCGGGTTGGACACACTGATGTCAATTTGGCAGACAATTTGGAACATCAAAGCGGAGAGGGGCTCGCAGGCGGCTAACCGGGGGCAAACGGGGTGGCGTGGCGGCGCGCACGGATGCGGGCGGCCGGCGGGCCCGACGGGGATGCGCGGCGGGCTCACCTCGGCCCAGGGGCAGGGCGGCGGGAGGGGGCCCGCTGCTGCGCCGCCGCTCGCCCAGGCAGCGCTGCAGCTCCTGCAGCCGCAGCTCCTCCTGCAGCACCGCTCGCTTCCGCTGGCGCCGGGCCTGCCGGCCGATGTTCTCCTCGCGGCACAGCCTCCGGGCCGCCTCTGCGATCTGCAGCTGCAGGGCCAGCTCGCGCTCCAGGCCGCCCAGGGGGTCCTGCCGCGGGGCGGCGGGGTGAGCGGCGGGCCCCGGCACCGGGAAGCGCCTCGGCCCCAAGCCCGCGGCGGAGGCGGTGCGGGGAGCGCCCCGGGAGCCCGTCGCCGGAGGGAGGCAAGCGGACCCGCCCGCCCGTCCGAGGAGCCCGGCAGGGCGGGAGCCGAGCGGGACACGTCCGCGCCCGAGCCCACAGGGCTGCGCAGGCGAGCCCGGGAAGCGTGCCGCCTTCCGCTCCACGGGGAAGGGACCCGGCGCTCCGGAGGCGGGGGGACAGCCGGGGGCCGGAGTAACCTGTCTGAGCAGGCCGGTGCCTCTCCGGGCCGGCGGCCGAGCAATGCACTGATCTTCTGCCCACTGAGGACAGGCAAGGCCAAGCCCGGCGTCCTCCCTCGAGCTCCCGGGTCCCAGTGGCACGCCTTTCCGGGTGTCCCTTGCCCACGCCAGCCGAGCCCTCTTCCCGGGCGTGGCGGAGGCCCTGGGCCTTGGCAGCCCTCCCTCCGGGGGCGGGGCCTCGCCGGGCCTCTGGGGAGTGAGGGAGGCTTCCCGCCGCACTCACCTCCGGGTGCAAGGCCCGCTCGTCCAGTCTGTAGGCGGCGCCGACCCTGCGGCGGACCTTGGGGGCCTTCTCCCCTGGCCTGAGGGGGTACTCCTCCGGCAAGGCACCCGTCAGCTCCTGCATGGAGGCGAGGTCAGGCAGGCCCCCGTCCACCGCTCAGCGGCCTGACCCAGGCCCCTGCCCACCCCGTCGGACCACCACCCAGGGGTGCCTCACAGCACCTGTGGCGCACGGGCAGCAGGCCGTCCTCTTTCCCCTCAAACCTCCTGCTCACCTCCTGCAGGCCCCTGTTGACCCTGGTCCCGATCCCCACCCCCAGCAGCTCAGCCCCCCTGCAGCCCCTTACCCTGTACCCACTTCACACCCCAGGTCTACCTCGCCCTCTCCCTGAGGTCAAACGCTGCACACACAGGGACTCTGAGCACCAAATCCCAGTCTGATTTCCAGAATTCTCCCAGGAGCCAAGTGCCCCTCAGCACCAACACCCCAAAATGTGGCTCCAAGTGAACCCCAAGTCTGCATGGCTCTCACCGCCTCCCTCAGGCAGAGTCTCCGCAGCTCCTCCAGGCAGGCCTCCAGCCGCTCTTCCAGGGCCCTCTGCTGCTTGCGCACAGCATGCGTCAGCTCCTTCACCGGGGACACCGGGCTGTCGGGGCCTGGGGAGCAGCAGGGAGCTCTCTCAGGGGAGCAGAGCCTTCTCGCAGGATCTCGGGGACCACCCCCAGCGGAGCGCGCCCTCACGCTCTCGCACACACGCACACTGCCTCGTGCCTGCCCGGACTGCAGGCCAGCTGCTGTGGCCGGTGTGGGGACCACGAACACCACACCTCCCCGCTGCCACGGAGGCACCAGCGCAGCGCAGTCGGGGACAGGCCCACGAGTGACTGTGCTGGGCGGAAGGCGGGGACAACTCCTCCTTTCCAAGCACCCCTCTGCCCTCGGCCATCAGCTTCTCCCCACTACGTTCTCCTCCTCCCTGTCATGCGCGCACACGTGCCTTTTCTCTTGTTCTGCATCAGGAAGAGGCCAGACTAGGCCCACAGGCTCCAGCCGGCCAGTGAGACAGGACCTTTACATCACACAGATAGGTAGTCACCGGGGCCAAAGGTGACCTAGACTTGCCCCAGATAGGATCAAACCCGCAGGCCAGCACCTTCCAGGAAGGGAAACTCCCGGGCCTCCAGTACCCCCACCCCCAGGCCTGTCCTGGGCCTCCCACCCTGCCCCCACCCTAGCCCTTGGGCACCTCTGCCTGGCCAGCCCTGAGGCTGGGGTCTCAGGGAGTCAGGGCTGGGGGCCCAGGCGGCGGGCTTCCTGAGCCACTCACCAGACTGCAGGATGATGCCGCTGTCAGTGTCGCTGGCCTCATCCTTACTCTCCATGGTGGACTCCCGGGAGGAGGGGGCACAGAGCAGGATGGGGTGGCCCCGTTCCCACCCTGGGCCAGAATGTGTAGGTGGCCTGGAGTTTCCCCAGCTTCCAAGAGAACAATAAAAAAAGTCATGTGTAACAAACAGCCCTTGGTTCCAAACAGCTTCAGAATCAGACGTTTGAGGGCAGAGGGAGTGGAAGCAAGGACCAGGCTGGGGGTGCTGCTCTGGGGCGGCCTCCCTGGGCCCCCACCTCCCTCCCAGACAGAGGTCTCTAGGCCCAAGGGGGATGACAGCAGGGGGGTGCCACAGGGGCCACTGCAATGCAGGAGAAGGACATCAAGGAAAAGGACAGGAAAGAGGAAGACAAGGAGAGGGGAAAAATGGGTGGGAGGGCAGAGCCAGGAGGCAAGGGAAGCAGGAAGGATGGCGGGCCTGCGGCCTGTCCTCAGCCTGAGAGCCCGAGGCAGGAGGCCCATCCCACCACCCAGGGGGCGAGGCTCGGCTCTGGGCCCCAAAGCCCAAAGTATTCACCCAGGTGTTCATCTGAAGGCAGGTGCCAGAGAGCTGTCCCAAGGCCCCAGAACACCTCCTGGGCCACCAACTACACCCAGGAGACCCCTCAGGGGGAGTGGGCCAGATCCCTGCCCCACAGCCAGGACAGGCCAGGGGTGGGGGCCAAGGGGGGGTCACTCTGCTGGGAGTGGGGGGGGACGACACCCTCCTCTGCTTCCCTGGGGCCTGAGAGCACTTGGGTGGCCGGGGTGCAATCCCAGCTGTGTGTCGGCCCCACCAGGCACTAAAACACCACCTGCTGCTTGTCCCCCTCTCCTCTCCAAGCCCACACCCCTGGTCAGGGTCCCAGGGGCCAGGGCCTGGCAGCTGCTGGCTGGAGCAGGGGTGAGGAGGCAGAGCCAGGCAGGCGGTCTGGAAGGACAGACCAGCCACCTCCTCGCTGAGTCAGCCCATTGAGCAACCACCCAAAAGTCCTTCGGAGTTTCTGTCTGGAGCTTATCCTGTCTCCTCGGGTCCCAGGGCTGCAGGCGGGAGGAGGGGCTGCCACCTCTCCTCCACCCGCCAGCAGGGGAGAAGAGCGGGCCTGTGAAAGCTGAGCATAAGGTGAGGAGGAGAGACGGCACTCTGGCAGCCATGTCCCCAGGAGCACCTCTGGAAGGGCACCTTTTACAGACCCACCCCCAACAACACGGCCCACCAGAGGGCCATGGGCGACAGCAGCTCCAGACACCCATGAAAACAACATGGACCGGCACTTTGGAATCTATTCTCCAAGGAAGTCTAGAGAATGGATGGTAGATATTTTAAAAAGTGTACGTGGGGCCTTTGCAAACATGCCTAAAAGAGAGACTGGCCGTGTGTTCCGGGCTCACTTCGGATGAGTTAGCTCCCCAGTCTGTCCCTCCAACCCTGATCAGGACAGGGGCAGGGCAGGACAGAGCAGGCAGCCCACACCTCCTCCCACCGCCCAGCCCTGCCGTGCACCCACCCTGGCAGCCACGGACCCCGCATCCACCCACCTCGGCCAGAGGCAGGGCCCAGTCAGGGCCAGGAAGCAGTGAGGTTTTGCTTCTGATGAGGGAGGAGGTGATGTGGGAGGGGAAGCCATTAATTAGTCACACTTGCTATTTAATCATTAACAACTAAGGGGGTGACTTGGGAAGTTGTGACCACTCAGCCCCTGCTTCTCAGGGACTCCTTGACTTGCCAAGTGGGGGCCACAGGGCCAGAAGGGTGGGGCACACCTTGTCTTCTCCAGCCCTCCCTGCCAGGGCAAGAGGGAGGCACAGGCTTTCAGCGGTCTCCACCGGACGCTGGGTGTGCTCTGGGCGAACGCGCCCCCAAGCAGGGCAAAGAGAACAGGACCTGAAGCCAGTGAGGGCTCTGCTGCTGCCGTGTTCTCGCTGGGCTTCCTCACAGGCACAGGTCAGGCCTGGCAGAGGAAGGCCCTTCCCAGCTCCCATCTGACCCTGGACCTCTTGGACAAAGTCAGGCTGCGCAGGAACCCCACAGATGTGTAGTGGTCTACCTCGTCCGCCACACCTTGGCCGCCCACCCGGGGGACCCTGCCCCAGAGCCCACAGGCTCTGCTCAGGCCCCACATTCACCCGGGAGGACAGGACGCCTCTCTCAGGTGTTTCAGACAATACTTTGAGATAAAGGCAGTTCAGGGAACAGCCGCCCCCTCTTCCCAGCACAGGAATCCTCCCTGCCCTGCGGACCCTAGCCCCAAGCAGCAAGCAGCAAGCCCCACACAGGCCCTAAGAAGCGGTCCACGCCACTGAATGTCCCCAGAAGAGGGGACAGGAGGAGGAACGGTCCTAGAGGGAATATGGGAAACACCAATGCGCCGTCCCTCAGCCTGAGCCACTGGGGACCCGCCTCCATCACAAAGGGACCCCCAAAGCCAGGCGCTGGGCCTCTCTCCAACCTGCTTTCCCCTTCGCCTGTGGAAACTGAAGCCTGAGAACAATAGAGATGGGCTCCTCACCTAGGCCACCAGGGCCTGCCCCCATTATCTCTGTGCCCCAGACCGGAGGAGAAGGGGTGGGGTGACAGCCACTGTGGGAGGGCTCCCCCCACTCCTGACCTGACCTTTGGCCCCAAAGACCTGCTCCACCCTGTCCTGCCCTCACCTGCTTCTAGGTGTTAGTCCAGGAGTCCGGGAAACAGCCCCTTTCCCAGGTCAGGGGGCTGAGGGGCACCACGTGCTGTCTCCTGGGGTCCCCGGCCTCCAGTGCTCGCTCTGACCTGGCTCCCCAGCCACACGCTGATGGCCGCCCCTGCCTCTGGCCCCGCCTGCCGCCTGCCGTCCCTCCCAGGCTGCCTGCCGCCCAGAGCAGGTTACTTGTTGTGACTTGAGTCAGAGGGGAGGAGCAGGTGAGCAAGTCCTTCCCTGAACTAATCCTGCCGGCACAGGGAGGCAGCTCCTGCCCTGGGCCTCCACACTTCCGGGGGCAGAGAGAGGGAGCAGGGAGAAAAGGGGGCTCCCCACGGAAGACCCCCAGGGCCACAGGGGTCATGGCTTCAAGGGCCCCTCAGTAACGTGCTGAGCTGTAAGTTGCACAAGTGCCTTCCCACCCCTCGGCGTCCCTTCCCAGAAATTGAGGCATGCAGGGCCCCTGGAAGCAGGGTGAAGGTCCACTGTCCCTGGGGATTACCAGCAAGAAATTTACAAACTAACCAGGATAGGTCATTGCTCGTCCCAGAATCTGAAATGGAGACCAAGGCCTGAGCTTAGTCTTCCCCCAAACCAGATTTTTAAAAACTTCAGGCAAGGCAGTGACCCTGGAACTCCATACACGGAGGTCGTAGGGCCCCAAAGAAGGCCGCCATGCTGTTCTCTTTTTATCCCAGTCATTTCCCCCAGGGATCATCACGGTCCGGGTATTGCTTATATCTATCCCTCAACAGGGTCCGTGGAAGCTGACCTGAACCCCAGTCCCGTCCCCTACTCCATGGGAGGGCCCCTGTGACCTCGGGCTCTCAGCCTACTCCCCAAACACACGGGACCAGTGACCAAAATGGAAGTTGTTCCCTACAAAAAGTAAGCCTCCAGGCCTCCCACGCCACTGAGCTTCAATAAACCAAAAACTACCTAGAATTCAGCCTCTTTCACTGGAGGGAGCAAGAGCCAGTCCCCCCAGACCGGGGAACACAGAGATACACTGCAGATTAAGGGCTGTCCCCCTTGAGGCTTTACCCCACCACCTCCGGTTCCCTCACTCTCTGATCCTCCTACCACACCCCTTCTCTCTGGGCTCCTGGGCCCCAACATATCTCTGCTTTCCTCCTCCTGCCCCAAACGACCCCCTAACTCCTGACTCCGCAGACAGGGGCGATGGAACAGGTCTGCTCCTGTCGTGCTCTGTGGAGCGGAGCTGTGCCCCGTCCCCTTCGCCAGCACCCCTCCACACACCCAGCTCACCTTCACATTCCTGCACACACCCTCTCTCCAAACAGTGCGAGCCCCAGAGCTCCTCCAGGCTGACCACCTCCTCCTCTCCCCAGGCTGAGTCTGGGGCCCCAACAGGGGCAGCCCCCCTCCGTGGTGAGGAGCCTGCCCTGGGTCTCCCTAAGAACCAGCAGCTGCTCTTCTCTCCCCAACCCCCATGCGTTTGCCCCATTCTTCCGGGGACAAACAGGACCGCATAACTGGCACCCTTCCTCCACCTTGCCCATCCCCCAGCACCTGGTGGGAGTGATGGAAGTTTCTAGAATCAGCTCATAGCATATTTCTTAATGCATAAAATACAATTAAGGGAATCACTCAAAGAGCCAATCACACTGAAATACCATTCTAAAAAGAGAAAACATAGTAATATATATGCTTCTTCATTATCCACATTAAACAGGATTTGCAGTGGGTAATCTCACACAGGTTCTATGTGTGACAATACTCCGAGCCAGCGACACCAGCTGCAGTGGGACGGGACACTCCCCACGGGTCCCACGAGTGACCAAGTTGCAGGTACCACCAGTGGCCTCCAACCTTAGGCAATGCCAAATTGCTGCTAAAGGCTGATGTAAAACAAAGATTGTTTTTTCCCATCTAAGGTCCAGTCCCTCTGAATTCTATCCACAGATGCTCTGGTGCCCAGGGACCCAGTGAAAGAGCCCCTCCGGTAATCCCCCACTGAGTTCATGGGAGAGAAGTACAGAGGTGAACTCAGTGCCCTGATCCTCCAGAATTCTCAGAGACTCCTTGCTCCCCCAGAGGGGCACATCGCTCCCCACCCAGCAGAATCTGAGGTTCGGAATGGGCCTGGCCAACAATTCTCCAAAGACGCCCCCAGACCCGTCAATAGCACTGTCTGCCCAGTCATTCCACACAGCCTGCCAAGGGAACCTGGGGCTCCGCACCCCGCTCCCAGCCAATCTAGGTGGGGGACTGACGGGTGCCTCAGCCCCAAACCCCAGAGCATCACCACCAAGGCCACCAGCTGGGACGGAAGAGGTTTCCATGCATATTAGTGGAGTACTTGGAATTCCATCTTTGAAAGAGAAAAACTGCATCTCTTTGGGCTTTTCACTTCCTAAGGAAAAGGTCTGAATCAGAAAAATCTTCCATGCCCTGCAGCCATCCACTCTCCAGTATTTTTTAAAGTTCCCTAATTTTCTCCTGGAGATTGGAAGTTTTTTAAAGCAAGGGCCTCCCCTCCCATCCCCACGTCCCCGCCAGCGCCCCGCAGAGGACAGAGCCTTCCTCAACTTCCGCCAAATGAATGAACGCATCAGTGGTTCGCCGCCGGAGCCAGACGCGGAAAAAGAAGGGACATAGCCCGGGACCCTCCCGGCCACCGAGGGCGGGAGATGGGGCCCTGTTCTTTCTCCCCTCTCCCCGCTTCCCACTGGCGAAGGCGCTCGCCTCCAGCAGCGACGGTGGGGTGCGCTGGGACCGGGGAACCCCACGCCAGCTGGAATGCGCCCTGAAATCAGACCTCCAGGCTTTCCCTAAAAAGCCCCTTTGTCCGGTCCGCCCTGCGCCCCTCCCCCACGCGCCCTCCGCATCCAGGCGGCCCGAGGCTTTGCTCCTTTTGTCTCTGCTTTCTGGCTTCCCGGAGCCTGGGCAGGGGGTCCACGGGCGTGGGGCAGGTCCCGGGAGAAAGGCCGAGGAGTCGGAAAGGCGCTTTTTCGGTAGGAACTCGGAGCTCCCGCCCCCTTGGGAAACTACCCCACTCCCTCCGCCAAGGCCGAAGGCGGCGGGTCCCGGGGCTCGATCGCCGCGGTCCGCCCGCGCCGCGGCCCCGAGCTGCCCCTTACCTGTCCCGCGGAGCTCCGGCGCCGCCCGCCGGCCCCCGCGCCCCCCGCGCCTGCCCCGCGGCGCCGGGACCTGTCCGCCCGGGCCGCCCCCTCCCTGCCCGGCCCGCCCCCCGGCCTTCCCTCCCGGGAGGCATTTCATTTAACTTCGGCATTTGCAGCATCCCAAATGTTAAAGATCCCCAGACATCTGTCCCCTGGGGCATACCAAGGCCCAGAGGAAAGAGGGGACAGACGCCAGAAGCGGTCCGGGGTCCCGAGCCCAGGGCCGGCGCGGGTTCGCGGGTTGGGGCGCCGGGGCGCCCGCAGCGCGGCCGTCCCGCGGGGACGCCAGCCGGAGCGGCGAGGCTGTGCCCGCCTCCCGCTCCCCGGCGCCCGCGTGGCGAGACCCCCCCGCGCGGCCGGTGCCGCAGCCCAGGCGGGAGGCGGCTCCCCGCAGGCCGAGGGCCGCCTCTCGTCCGCGCGCTCCGGCCCGGCCGGGGCAGTTTGCACTCCCGGAGACCCCGGTGGGGGGCCGAACGCGGAGGCGGAGGGCGCGGCGCCCCCCCAGGGCTGCGCCGGCGGCCGGCCGCGGAGCTCCCGCGCGGGGCGAGCCAGCGTCGCCTCCCCGGCAGCCCGGGCGGCGGAACTCGGGCGGGGAAGGGCGAGGGAGCCCGCGCCAGGTGAGCGCCCCCTACCGCCCCCTACCGCCCGTCCTTGCGTCCGCGCTCTGGCCCTGGCCCGGCCGCACTCGCCCCCCGAGCTCGCCCCCGGCCCCCACTAGCGCCCAGCACGCGGATCAGAGTTCGAGTTCCTTCCCTGGAGGGGGGGGGGCTTCCCCGAGCGAGACAGGTCATCACCCAGCCAGAGTATCCGTGAAGTGAGGTCCCTGGGGCCGGGAGAGCGGAGACCGACCCGAAGCCGGGCGCGAGGAGGCAGGGCCAGGGGGACTGGGGAGGCACAACCCCGCTGCAGGGACAGGATGTGCACAAGCATAACGGCAAAGAGCGCAGCGGCTTCTAGGAGCCGTGGGGAGCTGGGACATGAGGGAAGAGAGCGGGAGACGGGAGAGCGACGAGGCCAGTGTCAAGCAGGGCCCCTGAGAGGCATGGTGGCTCTGGGCAGTTGTCCAGGTTGTGCACTATAGCAAAAGGGAGGGTGCACCTGCGCTCCACCCGCCCAGCTGTATGCCCTGGGCAGCGTGGCACCTGCCTAGAGACTGTGGCTTTTAAAATTTGTACAAAGGGACTATATGAGCTAAGCTGACTGAAGCACTGTGCAGGCTAACTAGGTAAGGACTTAAGATTTTTATCCTGAAATTGAGGAGACACCACTTGTATCAGTCAGGCTCCACCAGAGAAACAGAACAGGAGGAGAGAATGAAAAGAGAAGAGAATTCAAGGAATCGGTTCATGCTACTGGAAGGCTGACAAACCGCAGAGCTGCAGGCCGGGCCGGCAGGCGGGAGACCCAGGGACGGGCGGCACTTTGAGTCCAAAGGCAGCCTGCCTGCAGCATCCCCTCTTCATCAGAGGAGGTCTGCCGTTTTCCTATTAAAGCCGTCAACTGACTGGGTGAGGCCCACCACAAAATGGAAAGTAACCTGCTCTACTCAGAGACTGCTATCATTTATATGTTAATCTCATTTAAAATATTCCTTCACAGAAACATCTAGAATAACATTTGACCAAATAGCTGGGTACGATGGGCCTAGCTAAACTGACCCATAAAATTAACCATCACACAGTACTGGAAACTATCAATCACGAGGTGGGCAAACTCACGTGTAAGATCACTTTGGTGTGGGGAGTTTGGAACCAGAAACCCCTGGGGAGTCCATAATCCAGGCAAGGAGGGATGGGGCCTAAACTCACCGTGTGGCGCCGGGGAAGGGTCGGGGGACAGTGAGTCAAAGGCCTGGCTCTGTGACTGACCAAAGATGAGGCAGGGAGGGAGGCGGAGGAGGTGGGGGCTCCTGCGTTTCTAGCTTCAGAGTTCAGTGTGGGGTGTATTCACCTTCGGATGCTAATGGTCCTGTCCAGTGAGTGGTCTGGCTAGGGGCTCAAAGCACAAGGCAGGCTGGAGAAGGTGCTTGGTAGCCAGCACAGAGTGGCAGCTCCAGACCGGATGAGACGGCCGGGGAAGGTGTGTAAGATGGGAAAAGGGCCAAGGGAAAAGGGCTCTGGGATCATTTGTTGAAATACTGATTTGTATCCCTTTCCCCATGGTTGCACCCCTCCTGTTGCTCTGGGTCGGAAGAAGCTTCCGGAAGGCCTCAGCTCTGCACCTACAATGCCAGGGGTTCTAAGGAGCAAGGGCAGGAGTGTGGCTTTGTGGGCCAGGTGAACAGTGAGGTGGCCTGGGAACGGGAAGGAATTAGAGCGAGTCCAGAGCCGAAGGAGCCCAGAGTGCCGCAGCCTGCCGTGCCCTCGGGAGCAGGGTGGGAGTTGGGGCGCTGGGCCCGGGGGTTCTGGCCTGGACAGGTTCTTGCACTGCATATGCCCGGGCAGAAGGAGCCCCAGAAAACAAGAGGCCCAGGGGGCTAGAGCGACCAGGATGCCAGCCCTGAGGCAGGGGCTCAGGATTCTGCATGCGGAAATGGCATTTTTTGCCATTCCAGCAGGGCCCAGGACAAAATCAAATTGATTCGAAAGAAAGTGGTGTACACCTTGCAAACCTCAGTTTGTAGGTTGAAGTTTGCAGCAATACTATAATCTTCATTTGCAGACAAGTAAACTGAGACTGGGAGAAGCTAAACAGTTGGGTTAAAACCAAACAGGAAGTGACTAGTGTGTGATTGGAAGGTAGATCTTCTGATTCCATAGTTCTAAACCTGTGGTTGAAAAACTTCAAATACAGAAAGGATCAGACACATAAAGTGAGGGAGAGAGGAGTGTCAGGCGTAAGAATTCTGGTGTTCCAACATGGTGGTGTCTGTTGCGGCCGGCACCTGGCCTTGGTGTGTGTGGCCGAGGAAGGAGAGAGCCCCAAAGAGTAGGATGCAAAGAATGGCAGATGCAAAGCCTGCAGCCTCGGTTTCAAGGAGACCATCACTGCAACTGTTGTCACAAGAAAAAAAAACTTCTATTTTAAAAACAAAAGCTGGAAATCCCAGTTTTTATGTGGAACCTTCCAATTTGCACACTTTTGACTACTTAATTAAAAAAGCAAAGGGGTCAAGTATAATGTGTCTACCTTCCCCGGGCTGCTGCTCCAGGCCCTCTGAGCGCAGATCCTGAACAGGTTTGGGCAGGGCTTCCCCAGAGCCGGGAAGGTGTCCTGGGAGCAGAAAGCGGCCACTCCCCGGGGACTGACTGGCCCAGGCTATGGAGGGACAGGAAGAGGGTGCAAATTGAAAGAGCCTACCAAACCCGCGCTCAGGTTTCTCCTGGGGCCTGTCCTAGACCTCTACCTGCTGGCAGCTGGGGCTGTCCCGGTCCTGTGCTGACGCAAGCACCCTCGGGCCCTCAGGCCCAGCGGAGGATGAGGCTCGCCTTGCCTCCCTGCCAGTCTCTTGCCCCTTGCTCCGGGCCTGCCGAGAAGAGTGAGATCATTCTTAGTGGCCCAGACGTGCCCTGTCGGTGCCCTCTGCAAGAAGCTCTTTAGAAACCCCAGAATGACTCGGAGCCGAGGCCCTGCTTCCTCTCTTGACTGCATCCTGCAGCTCGGAGCCGGGGGAGGGGCAGGAGGGGCAGGGCCTGTGGGCCTCCAGCTGCCAGAAGCTGCTGGACTGGGCCAGGCTGGACGGCAAACAGGTGAGCAGCTATGCAGATGCACACAACCACCGGAGGGGGTCAAGGGGTGAGAGTCCCCCGCTGGCGCCAGGACTCTGAGCCTGAGAGCCGCCTGTAGTGCGGCGGCAGACCCCTCGCTGGGGCCCAGACTCCGCAGTTGCCTGAGACGGACGGCACCCGCTTTCCCAAGACACCCCAGCATCCTCAGACCAGCAGCTCTTGGCTGGTTTCTAAGTGGCCCGGGGCCTCTCCAGAGTTCAAGGTCCCGCACTTACCCTCCTCGCCTTCGCTCCTTTCTCCGCTTTCATTTTTCCTTCGCCTGCTCCCGTGCCTCCTGCCCCTTTCCCTCCAGCCCTCCACCCTGGCGGCCCGCGTTCCCCGGGACGCCCGGGGCCGTGGGCGGTGTCTGCACCCCGCCCTCCTCCCCGCGGCCCCGGGGTAGCGCGCTCTCCCCGGCACGACCGCCAGGGGGCGGCAGTTGCCAGTGGGTGGCTCGTGGGTCTGCGCCTGCAGTCGGCCGTGCGCCCTAGAGAAAAAAACCCTGGGGGTGAAAGTGATACCGGATGGGGTGCCAGCTCACCTCTCGCCCGGGACGCTTCTTAGCCGCAGCCGGGGGCCCCTTCCTCGCTGCCGCCCCGAGCCCCTGCCTGTCGCCCAGCCCCTCGGGGCTCAGGGGTCCCCACGCGCTAAGTCGGACCAGGCTTCTCTGGCCATTCCGTCTGGGGTTTCGGGAGACCCACAGAGACTTTGGAACGTTAAGAAAAGTGAATGATGTTAAAAGTTACAGTTACAAAGATAGTAAGCTAAATACAGACGCAGGCATTGTTATGGGGCTTTGAGACATGGCAGCGGCCAGCGTGCGGGGGGTCAGACCCCTGGACCCCGAGGGCGGCAGGCCCGAAGCTCCCCGCCCCTTCCCGGCTCCCACAGGGAAAGCCGGCACCTGCCTGAAGCCGGGTGGCGCCGTGAAGAGCTTGGGGGTGCAGGCGCCCTCTCATGCAGGGCTACCCCGGGGGCCTGTCCCTCATTTCACCTGGCTGCTGGACAGGGAGTAACCTCAGGCCGTAACTACGGAGAGAGGTAAAGAATATATATTTTGGAGTCAGTCTCAGTTTCTTCGTCCGTAAACTGGGGATGAAGTCATGAGGATAAATGCTCTTGAGCATTGTGCTTTGCACACAGTAAGCCTCCAATAAAAGGGTAGTGATTTTTTAAAGGTGTTTTTTCTACATTCCTACTCTTAAAAGAAAAAACAAGGTTTCTTCAAAGCCAACTCTCAGAAAAATAAAATAAAATTTCTGCATGATAATTACACTTCAGTGGTCCGAACTTGTTTACTGGTGAACAGGTTTCACTTCCTGTGGTTTCTCCGCAGGAGGCTTCAAAGGGCCGGTCTCCTCCCCGTGGAGGTCTGGGCCGGAGCCTGGGCATGGGGAACTAGAAACCCGCTAGTGCCAAACACCTCTGGCTTCTCTTTATTCAAAGTGATGAGAAAGGAGTGTGTCTTGAAGGGAAGATGGCTTAATTGAGGTCAGATGCAGCTTAAATCAATTGAAATGGTCCATAAACCCGGCTCTGTGTGACCCCTTCACACCTGTCTCCTCCAGGCACTAGTCCGACCCCTTCCCACACCCGCTCCTCAAGACTGATTTAGATCAGAGCATTTTCATTTGTCCGTAAACAGATGCACTGAAGTGTGCTGGGTGCTTCAAAAGCTGGGTGGGTGAGGGCAGGGTGGAGGCTCGCGGGAGGGGTCTGTGCCATAGAGCAGCTGAAAGGCACCGTGAGGGTTTGGGGCAGATAAGGGTCTTGAAGCAAAGGTTGGCTGGGTGCTCATGATGGGTCGAAGCGCCCGAGGCCAAAATCAGTGGGGAGAAGCCATCGATTTGTTCAGGAACTCCAAAGCTGCTGAGTTGCAGCAGAAGTAGAAAATTGGACTCCAGAGTTTGTACTGAGCTGTACCTGGGGCTGCCCATCTACACAGCAGCCAGGGGCACGCCAGCCTCATTCCTCATAGGAAGCCAGTGCTGGGAGCTGTGTGCCAGTCCCAGTTTTAAGCAGTACTACCATGTCCTAAGTGGAAGACATTAAAGCCCATTTTATGACATACCAAAAAAAAAAAAAAAAGGCTAGGTGCCCCCTGTCTTAGATGCTGGAAAGTGGGTAACTTCTGTATCCTCGCCCACTGTCAAGAGCTGGNTAAGGAGTACGACCAGGTCCTAAGAGGAAGACATAAAAGCCCAATTTATGACATAAAAAAAAAAAAAAAAAAAAGCTAGGTGCCCCCTGTCTTAGATGCTGGAAAGTGGGTAACTTCTGTATCCTCGCCCACTGTCAAGAGCTGGGATTCCAGCAGGAACAGTTGAGAAATCGCAAAGCAATAACACATCCAAATGGTAGCAGCTGTTGCCATCTGGGAAGGGGCCGGGCTTGGGCCTGGGGGGTGGAGAGGGTCAGAGCTTCACCGTCTCCATGTGAACCTCTGCTGTGAAAGTGTTCCCCTTGCTTATGTGCAATGTCTGTGATTAAAATGAATATTTTGCAAGTTATTATTTTGAAAACTTTCCAACATAAATAAAAGCAGAAACTAGTGAACTCCCATTTATACATTGCCTCAACTTAGTAATTATTAACATTTCCCTGTTTCTTTTATTTTTTCTTTAGTGAAACATGTCAAAGAAAATCCCAGGGATGGTGACATATCACTTCTAAATGTTTCAGAATGCATCTGTGAAAAAAATGGGGCATTTTTCTTACATAATCATGTGGCTGTTAGCACAATAGCTCCTAACGTCACCCAATGCCAAATCATCCTCGAAGTTCTCCTGTGGTCCTAACACCGTCTTTTAAAGTGGGTCTGCTTGTGTCTGGATCCACGGTCTCCGTGTGACAAGGTCTCCACGTCACACTTGGCTCTTTCAATTTTGTGCAGGTCCCCTTCCACAGGCCGTGATTTATTTTTTTTC